CTGCGCGCCGCGGTCCCTTGGGGTCCGGGGGGTCCTGCTGTCCCCGCTCAGCCCCAACCCCGCCACCCCCACCCACAGAGCCGTATGGGGAGGGGGTGGCCTGGGCCCCCGTGGCCCTGCCAGCCCTGTGTGTGTCCCCCCAGCTGCCTCACTGTGCCTCCCCCATCCCAGCCTTGACCCGGCTGTGCCCCTCCCGTGCCGCCCCCCCCGGGGGTCCTCACCTTGCTGTCCAGTGGGGGATGTGGGTGCTGGGGTGCTCCAGGCTCCAGGTGTGCCGGGGCTGGAGTCAGGGGTGCTGGGGATGGCGCAGCCCCCAGAGGACCCCCTCAGCCTGTGCCGGGTGCCAGCGGGTGCGGGAGCCCCCCCACAGGGTGCGCCCAATGCCGCAGGCAGCTGCCTGCCCCCCCCCACCAGCACCGGGCTCCTGTCCCACTGGCGGGGCCTTGAGCGCGTGGGCTGCATGCGGGGCCAGGGCACGGTGTGACCCCACGTGGGTGCCCTGCCCGGCACATGGCCTGTGCCCGCAGTGTCCTGTGCAGGGCTTGGTGGCTCCCGCAGTGCTGGGGCCAGGCCATGGGGTGAGCGGGACTCCTGTGGGCGGCCGCGGGCCGGGGGAGGCTCTGGCTGGGACAGCCCGTATCCTCCTGCTCATCCCACGGTGCCAAGGAGGGGGAGGCGAGACGCCCGCCCAGACGAGGCCGTGGGCCGTGCTGTGTCGGGAGGCGGTGGGGGGACATAACGGCGCTCCCCGGGTCGCCCCGACCCACCGGCGCTCCGCGGGGCCGAGGTGCAGGCAGGAGCGCGAGCAGGAGCTGCCCAGCGGGGCCTGGCATGGCTGAGAGCATGGGGGCAGGCGACGGCGGGGGATGCGGAGCGGGGCTGGCGGCCACGTACGGCTGCTCCCTGGCCACCGCCGCCTCCAGCTCCCGGGGGAGGGGAGGTGCCTGCAGCCCTGCACGAGCTGCCCGGCGCTGCCGGGGAGCGGGCGCAGGCAGGACCCCAGGGCCCTCGTCTGCCAACTCGGGGAGCCCCCCGGCAGCAGGACAGGTAAGGAGCCGGCTGAGCGCAGGAGCGGGACCCCACGGACCCCACACACAGTGGCAGGAGGGAGCCCCAGGGACAGGCCTGCCACCCCTTGCCCCGCTGCACCAGGGCTGCCTGGCACAGAGGGCCCCGGGGGTCTGCCGTGGGGCTGCCATGGGGAGGGGGTGCATGCCAGGCAGCGCCAGCCTGCCCCACTTGGGTGCAGGTCACGGGCAGGACTGAGCCCAGTGGGGTGCAGGCAGGGGGGCACAGGCTGCCCCACGGGACGCAGCTGTGGGGGCACAGACACCCTGTGGGTCTGAGTCCTGGGTTCACCTGGCTCCCCAGGGACAGGTGGCATCGTGGAGGACGGGTGCTGCCCCTGTTTCCATTGGGGCTGGCAGTGCCCAGCCAAGCCTCAGCTGTGGGGTGCCATGGGCCCCGGGCCGGCTCAGCCTCCCTCTCTCTGCAGGGTCCCCCCGGGCCACCATGCCCCCAGAATGCGGCACGAGAGCGGAGCCGGGTGCGGGCGCTACGCCGGGCCTTCCTGTCGCTGCAGGCAGCCCTGCCCGCTGTGCCCCCTGGCACCAAGCTCTCCAAGCTGGACATCCTCGTCCTGGCCACCAGCTACATCGCCCACCTCAGCCATGCGCTGGGCCGTGGGCCCCCCCCGCCCACACCCTCCTGCCCTCTCCACGGACACCCGCTCCTGCACCCCCTGAAGGTGAGACCACCGCTTCGAGGTCCAGCCCCCCGGCACCGGTCCCCGGGAGTCCCCCTTGCATGCTGGCACCTAGTCCCTGGGGTCCCCCCTTATCCCCCATGCACACCAGCAGCCAGCCCCCCAGTGCACAATGCGGCTGGTCCCGGGGGTCCCCAGTGCATGCTGGCGGCCATTCCCTCAGCTTCCAGCCCCTCCACCCTGGGGTCCTCCAGTGTGCCCCACACACACAGGCAGCCAGTCCCTGGGGTCGCCTCGTCCCCAGGTGTGGGTCACCAGCAGCAGGAGGACAAAGAGCCACCCTCCCAGCCTCAACCCCTCTCCCTCTCTTGCAGAAGTGGCCGATGCGCTCCCGCCTCTATGTTGGCCCGTGGGGGGGACCTGGTCCTGACCCCCCCGGGGCACCCACTGCCACCAGCAGCCACGAGCACACAGGCCTGGGGGACAGCAGGCTGGAAACAGGCGATGGCCCCCCCTGACAACCGGGGTGCCCACGGCCGCGGGAGCCCCCACATCTGCTCTCCCCACAGTGTGGGGAGGCTGTGCCCCAGGGTGGGGATGGGGGCAGCAGCCAGGATGGGGGGGGCTGGTGCCAATGGGATCTGCACTCCCATCCTGCACGGGGGTCCGCGAGTTCCACAGGCACAGGGCCAGGACCCCAGGGACACTTGGGGTGGGCTCTGGTGGGAGCTCCCACCATGGGGCTGGCCCTGCACCCCCTGCCTGGCCTGGGGGTGGGGTGGGGTGGGGTGGGGGGCGGCAGGCTGGGGGCCGCCCAGCAGCAATAAACCTGCAGCGAGCACCCGCCACCTGCCTCCTGCCTCCGCTGCACCGGGGCCGTGGGATGGGCCCCCCCATGAGACCCTCACCCTGGGCTCTGCCCTGGCTCGGTTGTACCCGGGGGATGGGGAGATGGGGGGCCCTGTGCCCCCCCCCAGCCATGGAGCAGCTGCCCCCTGGCTGCGCTCACCTGGCTCCCCCAGCCGGGCCCCCCCGTCGGCCCCGTGCCATGGGAAAGGAGCCAGGGCCAAGGCCGCCGCCATAAATCTCCCCTGGCTGGCGAGGATCCCGCTCCAGGGGGAGAGCAGGGCCCCCCCGCTGCTTTGGGAGACTGGGGTCCCATGTCCCTGCAGGCAGGGAGGGGGCTGGTCCCAGGGCTCCTCCGACACCTGCGCTCCAGAACCATTTATTGGCAGGACAACGAACACAGAGATGGGTGATGGTGGGGGCTGGTGTGGGGGGGTGCGGGGCAGCCCCCAGCCCGGGAGCGGTGCGGTAAGGCACGTGGGCAGCATCCCGGTCGGTGGGGGAGAGGGCACCGCTCTGACTCGCCCCCACACCCGTGGTCCCAGACACCCCCCCCCGCTGGGGGGCAGGGGCCAGCGCAGGCACTGGCAGCGGCCCTGGCGCGGGCAGATGGAGGGCCCGGGGCTCGGAAGCCAGCCCACCGCGGGTGCAGGCAGAGAAGCCCTGTGCTGCCCGCGGGGGGTGCAGCCTGGCCAGCCCCTACGGGCAGGGACCCAGCCCCTCCCGGTTATTTGGTGCTCCCTGGCTGCATGTGGGTGCTCCACAGGGGGTCTGTGCCCCCTGCCCAGGGGGTGGCTGGGACCCCCATGTCGGGGGGGGGTGGGGGGGGCGCTCAGAAGGAGGTCTCCTGCAGGGCATAGGCGGGGGCCCCGGCCGCACGGATGTAGCCCTGTCCCTCCTCCTCCTGCCGGTGGGGGCCGGGGGGGGCCAGGCCATTGGGCACCCTGTTGCTCTTCACAGTGGCATCCGCATGGTCAGCGTCCTGCGGGGACAGAACGGGGGGGGGGGGCAGCAGAAGCACAGAGAGGGGACCAACCCCATGTTCCGCTACCACCCCCCCCCAGAGGGCTGGGGTCTAGGCCCTTCACCTGGGCAGGGAAGTCCACCCTGCAGCAGAGCCTCTGCCGGTATTTCTGGGGCAGGCAGCAAAGCAGGCGAGGCAGCACGGGGTAGATGGTGCGGGGGTCCACGGCTGCTGCTGGCGTGGGGCCTGGGGGAAGAGCAGAGGGTCAGCGGTGTGGGGGGAGCTGCCACCAGCCCCCCACCCCTGACACTCACCGGTGAGCAGGCTGACCAGGAGCCCCACCAGGATGACGGTGGTGGAGTTGTGGGCGCTGTACCACATGTAGGACAGGCTGTAAAACTTCTGCAGCCCTGTGGGGCTGGGGGAGATGGGGGTCAGGTGGGGGGAAGAGGTGGGGTGCACGGAGCAGCACCCCCGCAGCCCCTGTTCCGCAATGCCCTGGCGCCGAGCCCCCCACCCCGCTCACCTCTGGGGGGCCAGCGTGGGGGCCAGCAGGGTGGTGGCGAGGATGGTGGTGAGGTTGCCCACGGGGGGGAGCACGGTGCTGTTGGGTGGGGGAGGCCCCCTCATACTGTGCAGCAGACTGCCGATGCCCACCCAGAAGGCCATGGCCAGGCCCGCCAGCAGCCCCACGACAGCACCCTGCAACGGGAGAGAAGGAGGGTGCTGACCCCCAGCCGGGCTCAGGGTGCCCCAGCCCCCCTGGCACTGCCCCTCCGCAGGGTCTGTGCCCCCGGCTGGGCAGGGGGACACTCACCATGGGGTTGGCGCAGGGGAAGAACATGCCCAGGCAGAAGAGCCCCAGGAGCGGGCCCCCCACCATGCCGAAGATGCTGATGGCTGCCTGTGGGGACATGGCCCTCAGCGCCAGCCCCTTGCCCCGGCCCGCAGCTGGCACCGGCCACCCACCAGCTGGGTGCCGGAGCTGGGGGGCCCCACACCCTCATCCCTACCTGCAGCACGGGGCCCAGCATGGAGGACACGTAAGCCATCCCCAGGCAGAGCAATCCATAACCAAAAGCTGGGGAAGGGAGTGGGGGGTCACGGTGGTGCTGGGGACCCCCCACTGCCAGCATCAGTCCCCCCTCTGTGCCGCCCCCCCCACTCACCCAGCAGCTTGGAGAGCAGCGTGGCCCGTGATTCTGACAGCCCTGGGCAGTGGGGCCGGACCAGGTCCTCCATCGTCACTGTGGCCAGCGAGTTGAAGGCGGAGGAGATGGTGCTGGGGAGGAAAGGGAGCAAGAGGGGGCTCGACCAGGACCCCCCCTCAGCCCTGCCGGCCCTGGGGCCTCCTGCTCACCTGAGGCACCCGCTGAAGAGGCAGGCGACAAAGAGCCCGGGCAGCCCCGGCAGGTCCTGCAGCACGTCCATCACGAAGTACAGCACCAGCTGGGGCAGGGGGGTCAGTGCCTGCAGGGCCGGGGGGAGCGGGGTCCGGCCCTGCGGGCTGCAGGAGAGCTAAGGGGGGGACAACACGACACCCGGCCACCCACCTGGTCGGAGGACCCGGGGCGCTGGGTGGGCGCCAGCGGGTGCTCCCGGTCGTAGACGAACATGACGAGGCCGGTCAGGCAGCTGAGGCAGAGGACGATCTGCTGGCAGGGGAAGACGGCGTAGCAGGAGCTGCGGGCGCCGGGCGGGCGTCAGAGGTGAGGGAGGGCGGCAAAGGGGCCCGTCCCGGCCGCGGGACCCCCAGCCCCGGCCCCACTCACAGCTTGGCCTCCCGCTCGCTGCGGGCGCTGAGGTACCGCTGCACCTGCGCCTGGTTCACCCCGTACAGTGACAGCATCATGAAGACACCCCCCACCGCCAGGGTCCAGAAGGTGTGCCGCTTGAAGGGGTCAGGGTCCAGGCTGCGGAGAGGTGCCGGCGGGGAGGGTCACGGCGCTGGGTCCTCACTGGCACCCCGCACCCCACGGGAAAGAGGGCAGCAGGAACAGCCCCCCCCCCGCCCCATGCCGGGGTCCCTCTCCCCTTCCCAGCTGCCCTGCACGTCCCCATGGCGTGACATGGGGTGCCCAGCTCCGCGTGGGTGAAGGTGTCTCGGCACAGGGCGCAGCATGGCTGGGCCACTCACTCAATGCCGGAGATCTTGCCCTCCTGCTCCGCCAGGTGCCAGACGCGGGCCATGCCGCCCAACCGCCGGGCGCCCACCAGGATGACGGCCAGCTGCCCTGCGAACATCACCAGCGTCTGGAAGACGTCCGTCCAGATGACAGCCTTCAGCCCACCCTGCAAAGGCATGGCACCCATCACTGCAGCCCCGTGGGGGCATGGGGCACCCCACGGCCAGGCAGCAGCCGGCACCGCTGCACCGCGGCGGGCAGGGACTCACCAGCGTGGTGTACAGCGTGCAGACCAGCCCCATGGTGAGCACCGCGCTCCAGAGGTCAAAGCCCGTCACTGGAAGCAACAGAGGCCGTTAACAAGCCTGGGGGGGTAGCAGCCCCACCCTTGCAGGATGGGGCTTCCAGCATCGCCTGCTGCTCCCATCCCCCCTTACCTGCATTGAGGGCCAGCGCAGGCGCGTAGAGCACCACCCCCATGTAGATGACCTGCGGGGAGAGCAGCGCTGCAGCCATGCACGGCCCTCTGTGCCCCCGCACCCCCCCCCCCCCCTCCCCACCTGGAAGATGAAGGTGATGGTACCAAAGACGCGCACCGTCTTGTTGAAGCGCAGCTCCAGGTACTGTGGGGGAGACGGGTCAGGGCACTGTCCCACCCAGACACGGAGTCCTGAGCAGGGGGGACATCCCCCACCTCCCCCATTTCCCCCCCACGGCAGTGGGGAAGCAGAGCGGGTCAGGCAGTCCTCCCCCAGCACCTTGGCTCCTGCTGCTGCAGAGACACAATGGGGCCGGCCAGCACTGGCTGGGGCAGGGGAGGTGCCCAGGGCAGGGGACAGGATGGGTGCTGGACAAGCTGGGTGGGAGCCCCGTTCAGGGGGCACGGCAGGCTGGGGTCCAGGACAGGGGCATGGTGCAGCAAGGGACCAGGAGCCGAAAACCCCACTGGGCACCATCAGCTTGTCCCCTGAGGCCACGCGTCTGCCTGCATGTCCCACTCACCTCGTAGGTGCTGGTGATGCGCAGGCGGTAGAAGACGGGGATGAAGACGTGGGCCGGGATGAGCAGCCCCAGGAAGTAAGAGCAGCCGAGGAACCAGTACTCGGTGCCGAAGCGGTAGATCTCGGCCGGCACACCCAGGATGGCCACAGCTGACTGGAAGGTGGCCAGCAGGGAAAGGGCAACAGGCAGGAAGCCCATGTTGCGGTTGGCCAGGAGGAACTCCTGCACCGTGCGCTGCCGGTCCCCGCTCAGTGCGTAGAAGAGCCCGATGGCTGACGACAGCACCAGCAGCAGCGCAAAGATGCTGTAGTCGATCACAGTGAACTCCATGGCGAGCGTCTCCTGTTACCGCTGTCCTGCTGGAGACGCTGCTGCCCAGCCGCCCACCCCGGCTGCACCCCGCCGGCCTCATAGGCATGCCGAGCCCCGGCAGCCACCCCGGCAGCAGGTCCTGGCCAGCATCTCCCCGGCACTTGGAGCTGCAGGAGGAGGGACGGGTGTCAGCACTGAGCCAGCCACACCAGGAGCTGCAGCAGACACTGCAGGGACCTTCGCTCGCTCCTCTCCCTCAGCCTCAAGGACCTGGTGCGGGCTGGGGGGCAGGGAACGGCCCCTTAACCCTTCTCCTCCCTCTGGGCTGGGCTCGGCACGGCGGCGCCCACCCCCTGGGCTGCCAGACCTGCCCCCGCCAAGGGAAACGAGTGCCTCTTCCAAAGAGCACTGAGGCCACAGTTGCAAAAACAGTCCCACCCAGGACCCCGGCAGCACCGGCCCTGCCAGCTCCACGTGGCTCTGCCAAACCCGGCAGAACCAGCCCTGTGTGGCCAAACCCAACATAACCGCCCCCGGTGCAGGACAGCCCCGCCAAGCCCGGCAGCACCAGTCCTGCCGTAGCCAAACACAACATGACCCAACCGTCGCGGCACCACGCAGCCCCGCCAAGCCTGGCAGAGCCGCCCCTGGTGCAAGAGCCCAGCCAAACCCAGCACAACCACCCCGGCTCTGGCGCCAGCCAGCCGCCCTGGGGCCAGCACAGCCCAGCCAGCGCCAGAGCAGCCGCCCCCACAGCAGCCCACCCTGCAGGACCAGCCCCACCAGCAGCCCCCAGACCCACAGGACCCATGGACAGGGCTGGGGAGGGCAGATGGATGGGCAGCAGAGCCCAGTCTGTGCAGGCAAGGAGAAGCCCTGGCACCCTCACCCAGCTGAGCAGAGGTTGGGCAGGGTGACCCCCACAACAGGCGCCCCACACAGCCAGGGACGGATGGACGGACGGATGGATGGGGACTGCCAGTCTTAGAGGCTCTGGGCAGCAGCCAGATGGAGCAGACGCTTGAGCCACTGCCGGCCCTGGCAACCCCCTGCCCTGCTCACAGGCCCCCGCTGGGCCTCTGCCCCCACCCCTGGCTCTGGCCCCTGCGGAGCAGGAGGGGGTCAGCCGGGTGGCCCCAGGAGCAGAGCAGGGAGGGGGCACAAGCAGAGACACCCCCCCCCGCCTCCGCCAGCGGGCAGGGGGCTGCGGGGAGCAGGGAGCCAGGAGCGGCGAGTGCCGGGGGAACAGCAGGCACCGGCGGGGCAGGATGCGGACGGACCCCACGCCGCCGTACCAGCGGGGCAGCGTTAGGGGCTGCCACGGGGCAGCGCAGGGCACGTGGAGGACGAGGCCAGGCTGCCGGTGGCGGGGGACGGGGGCTGGCGCTGCGCCCGCTGTGATCCCCGGAGGAATGCCCACCCGGGGCATACTTGGGGGGATTAGGCTGAGCCCCGCCTGGCACCCCTGCACCTGGCGCGGCTTGCCCGGGCCTGCCCGCCGCGGGGGCCAGGGGACCGGGGCAGCCGTGCTGGCACGGGGCCCCCTTCCCCGGGTGGGAAGCGGGTGAGAGGGCAGCGCCCGCCCACCTCACGTGCCACCGTCGCGGTGCAGCTCCCGGGCAGGGTCCAAGGTCACCCCACCGCATTCCACCACAGAGACTAAACACGGGGCGGGCGGCGGCAGTGCCGTCCCTGATGGCTGCCCCACCGGCACTGCAGCCCAAGGCGCGGCAGCCCCGGGGGTGGGGCGGCCCGGCCCAAGGCTCCCCTGTACCCTCCCCGAGGCCCCTCGGTGTCCCTGAGGCCCCTCGGTGTCCCCCGGTGTCCCCGGCCCAAGGCCCCGCTCCCCCGGCGCCAGGGTGTCCCCGGTGACCCTGCCTGAGGCCCGGCCCTCCCGTCCCCGGTGTCCCCTGCCTTACGCTTCCTCGTTCTCCCCCGTGTCCCCGGTGACTCCGCTCGAAACGCCGCCACCGCCCAGCCCCGGCGACCCCGGGCCACGGCCCTGCTCCCCCGCCCCCGGCGTCCCCGCTGGCCGCAGTCCGAGGCCCGGCCGCCCCGCTGTCCCCAGTGACCCCGGTGTCGGGCGGGGGCGAGGCGGGGCGGGCGGCCGCAGGATGATTCCCCGGTCCCGCCGTGTGGTCAAAGCCCGGCGGGGCCGCTCCGGAGCCGGGGGGGGGGACACGGACACGGTGACCTTGAGGGGGCCCCCGGCGGCCCCAGTACGAGACTCACCGGCGGCGGCGACCGGCGCGGCAGTGCTTGGGCCCACGTGCCGCGCTGACAGCCGCCGGCGCGCCCTAATGACGCCAGCAGCGGGGCAGCTCTGCCCTCACCGCCACTTCCACCCGCCACCGCGCGCCCTGATGGCGTCAGCGACCG